GGGGGCAGGTCGTCCGCCCATCTGGTTACACTTAGGAGCCGGGAGGAAGCTAGCAGCGGGTTGTTACCGGCCAAGGAGTGTGGGAAAAGTTAATTGACTTTAATGACAGGTTCCCCGGGACGGTGGTGACGATGAGGGGGTCCAGTTAAACCCTTGGGTCCCCACTGCAGAAACATGTGGGATGGGGCGCGATGAGACGTGAGGAGGGGGCGAGCCTCAGTCGCTTCCGCACGGCCTGGGAAAGTCTCTAGCCTAGGAGAGCGCCCCCCCCGCCCCCAGGCCCTCTTCTCTCTCCCTAAACTGCTGGAGACTTGGTGGGGGGTGGGGGGAGGCGAGCAGGGCCCCAGGGTCTCCGAGGGGTGGTTGAGGTGCGGGGCCGCCTAAGCCCTAGGCCTCAGGGGACAGAGTTTGGAGAAGTGTCTTATCGGGGAGAGATCAGCTCTGCTGCGAGAGGGGCGGCAGGGTATGCCTTGAGGCAGTATAATTAGGCCAGGCCCAGAGGACCTCAGAGAGGCCAAAATACTTCACCTCTCCCCCAGCTACTTATTTCAGAAACAGCCAGGATGCAGGAGGGTGCAGGGTCTTAGAAATAAATCTGTCAGTTTATGAACTTGGACATACTCCAGAGAAGGGAAATGACTTATCCAAGGGGATACTGTGACTTCAGTGGCTTAAAGGCCACCTCAGGACCTAGAATCATCCCATATACTAAAGCCTCATTGAATAATGTAACCCCCAATTTCAGTGAAAAAGTGTTTTCCAACTATCTTTTCAAAAGAACAAGTGATGGTTTATTTTCCTTCCAGCTTTCTTCTTCAAGAAGACGCTATTTGTACTTTTGATATTAATTTTTAGTGCATTGAAAGAAATAGAGATTTCGTTTCTGGTTATTTTTTTCCCTGCAAATTCAAAAGAAAAATGAGTGGGAATTACTTTTATAAAAATTGAGATCCTGATGTCTGGATTATTTCTACCAGGATGCTAAAGACAGGTTTACCAAATTGAGGTATTTGAATTTGGGGTAGGTGTCTTAGTGGAACAATTGTTACTATGTTTGTGTTTAAAACAAAAAGGAAAACGTAGAAAAATGATATGTCAAAGAAGGGTGTGTGCGTTTCTTTGGCAGAGGGTTGTTGGACACCTTTGGTGTACAGAAAATAAGGCAAATAGGAGCCAAATTCAAAAAGTATCTTTAAATCCTCTCCCTCCTGGGACCGAGGCCGAAGGTACTGGAAAGAAAACCGACTGCTGCCTGCTAGATCTTGCCTGCGATAGAGCCGCACTCCACACTGGCCTGTGGGAAAGGCTAGAGCCAGGCAGGGGAGAGGTAAGGCTTTTGAAACAAGACAGAAAATCGTTGGCTTTATCTTTGTTAGGAAAGCTTCAAAGATTGATCTCTCCCGCCTCATCTTCTCCTCCCAGCAGCCGCTGTTAAGGGAAGGGGGGTGAGAGGCGGGCGGGAGGGGCGGGGATGGGAAGGAGGACTGGCCGGCGGTGGGGGAGGCAGGGCGCGCCGGCCCGACCCACAGCGCGGCTGATGTGTCTGGTCTCGCAGGGCCCGTGGTTTTCATTTCCCCAACACCTGGATGCAGTCAAACACCTGGCCAAATCTGACAAAATCTGACAAGCCTTTGTGATGGGATTTGGAAGAAATTCCCTGCAGATCCTGGCACAGTTTAAAGCTGTCCGCTTTGAGTTAGGACTTGTTAAGGAGGGTTGTGTGAGCTGAAATCCGAGACAAGCCTTTTGCTTCTATCTGGAGCCCACATCTTGCCTGGAAATGGGGCATGACCAAGTGAAGGGGTCGCTGGCTGTTTGTATTAAAAGGGGAAAACGGCCTGTGTGCCTGCCAGCGCAGCCCCCACATGCTTTCTCCATTAGAGCCAAGCACAGAAACTTATCAGAAACACATGTCCGGTGTTAATCATCTGGCCAGGGCTCCACTTGGGAGTCTTAACTAGCTGTCCCCTGGCAGAAGGAATCTGTTGACCTTTTCAGCTTGCTTGAAGAGGGTGGGGAGGCATTGCAAGCTTTGGGATGTTGGTTCTAGGGGATGCCTAACTGCACCTAAGAGTTGGGCTAATGAAGATGCCAATATTTGAAGGCTGAGGTGGTGAAATGAACGTTTTACTTTGGATGTTGAAGGCTACCCTGGGAAGAGGAGCTGGAGACACCCTAACTATAGAGCCTTTCAGAAGAAATGAAGAAGGACTTTGACTTTTACACAATTTCTGATATTCTTTAAAGAGAATGACCACAGTGTATCAGATGAGGAAGGTATCAATGAGTTCTTATAAACTGGGTCGTTTTAGTTCAGTTAAGTGTTGGTGAAAAATTTTCTAAACAGGAGCCAATTTTTAATTCCCAGACTACGTTTTAAATTTTTAAAATTATTTTTATTTTATGTGTATGTGTATATTGCCTGAATGTAGGTAAGTGCACTCGGAGGACAGAAGAGGCTGTTGGATCCCCTGGAACTGGAGTTACAGATAGTTGTTAGCTGCCATGTGGGTGCTGGGATTCAAACCCCAGTCTTCTGCAAGAGCAGTCAGTGTTCTTAAACACTGAGCTATCTCTCCAGCCCTATTTTTTTTTTTTTACAGTTTTGAAATAATCAGTTCTTCGACATAAAAGCTTTCACTCTTTTATTATATTTTCTCAAATAAACTTCCCCAAAGGAAGATATTTTAAGAGAATTTTTCAAACATCTTTGGCATCACATAAAAAAGAAATCTCGTGTAAAAAACGAAATGTCATCTCAACTTTTATAATACAAAGGCGCAATCCAATATGAACATATAAAATATATACAAATATAGTGCATGGTCAGTCACTTAATACAGCTCTCTACAAAAAAGTAACTTTTTAGAAATTAAAAAACAGCAACAAAGTAACCACTGAATCATAAAAGTCTCTCCTAACATCCGAGTCCCTTTTTAGTGTCTGTCGGGAAGAGAGAGGTGGGCTGAGCCGCTCAGTTCCTCCACGGCCTCCACATGGAGTCCGCAGTGAGCGAGGGGCCGCTGGAAGGCGACACTGCGTTAGGACCCACCGAGGTCCCGCTGTTGCTGGTGTAGACGGGGATGACCGGGCCGCTGTGAGCAAATGCCCCATTGGGGATGAGGAAGGCAAACTGGCCGTCAGGAGCTGGCACCACCTGGAAGCCTCCGAACACCTTGGCCGCCTCTCCAGCCTGGCTGCCCAACTTGCAGGGTGCGCTGCCGGGAGGGGGCGCCGCGCCCCCGGGGATAGGCACGAGCGGTGGCGGCGGCGGCGCGAACGGCGCGTGCTGGGGGCCGCCGGGTCCAGGCGGGGGTGGCGGCGGCGCCTGCAAGGCGGGGTGCGGCTGCCCGGGGTAGGTCATGGCGTTGATCTGGGTCATGCAGTTGGCCAGGTGGCCCAGCAGCCGAGTGCGCACCTCGGTGTTAACGCCCTCGCACGTGGACAGGAAGCGGGTCACCTCGTTCATGCACTCGCTGAAGCCGGCGCGGTACTTCCCCAACACGCTCGGGTCGGTGCTCAGCGCGGCTGCGGGCCAGAAGGAGACAGACGGGTCACCCTACTGCCCTGGCCCCAGGGCCTCTGCCTCCGGCCCTAGAAGGTCCCCGCGCGCTCCCGCCTGGCCAGCCATGCTCCTGCGGATCTACCTCGGGCTAGGAAGCTGGGGTGGGCTGGGAGGCTGGGGTGCACCTGGGCAAACCAGCTCCTTCTCCACACTAGCTGGACGGCCCGGCCGAAGCACTCCCTCCACTTCAACCGAGCTCAGCTTCAGATCAGCCTTCTCTAGCCCCGCGCGCGACGCGACCTTGGGCAATGCCACCCAAGCCTCATTACCGTCTGCTACCGGGCTAAGCCAAATGAACCTAGCCTCTACCCAGCTCAAAACCGCCACGGTCCCGCGCCCTTTCGCCCTCACTGGCTTCCTCCACCGCCAAGTCGCCCGCCACCCTCCGGGCTACAACCTCTCCCTCCCTTTCCGGAACAGTAACAACTTGGGAGTTGTGGCTATAAATAAGACCCAGACCGTGGGAACGCGGAGTGAGCCAAGGCAGTAAAATGTAGCTGAATGCCTCTCACAACCGCGGGCGGAAGTCTGGAAGAAATCACCGCGGGCAGAGAGGGACGCCCGCAGAGAGGGGACGCGCCAGCGGTCCTCACCGGTCATCTGCGCACGCTGCAGGTTCCGGAGGTGCTTCACTGTCATTTCCAGAATGTCCGCCTTCTCCAGCTTGGAATGCCGGGAGCTCTGTGCAGAAGAGGAAACAAGGGAGGAAAGTGAGACCCCTGTCAGCTGTCTCGGAATGTTGGGGGTGGGGTCCCTCACCTCGCCCGCGCGTGCCTCATCCCGGGGCCCCAGCGAGGGCCCTGCCCTCCCTGCCGCCTAGGAGAGCACAGTGTTGGCGGGGTGAAATCCCCGCACGGCAGGCGAAGGGGTTCATTCTTTCTGGCTGAGAAATACCATAATATTCGTAATAATAATAATAAAAAGCATTCTCACTTACATCTTTCTTAAGAGCATCCAAAATCAGTGTTTTCAGCTGGCTCAGACTTTCATTTATTCTTGCTCTTCGCCTTTTCTCCATGATCGGCTTTGATGACTGCAAAAAAAGGGGTGGGGGGAAGGGGCCTGAGTTCCCATGGGATCTGCCATTTCGCCCCCGGTTTTAACTGAAAAGGAAAACTGAATCCCCCGCCCACATCCAACTTAATTTCTAGGGGCTGCAGAGATGCACAGGTACAGCCTTACCTTTCTGTGCTCAGATGCTGTCTTTGGTTTATCCGGTGTCGTGTTGACACTGGCTGGGGTAGCAGCCACCGGGGACGAGGAATTTTTCTCCATAATATCAGCTGGCATGTTCTTTTTTTTCTTTTTTTTTTTCTTTCAATCCCCAGAGAATTTTATTTTTGAAGTCCTTCAACGCAAAAAAATTTTTTTGGCTTATGTCCCTTTTACTTGACTTTCATAAAACTACTGAGCAAGCGCTGCGGGTTTATTATAATATTTTATGGCTACTTAGTGATCGGTAGCCTATTCCAGGACCAAGGAGAGAGGTTGACAGGGGATTCCGCTGTTATCAGCACCAGCTCCAGATCCTGTGTGATCCCCAGGCCCTGGCGGCCTCTATATATATCTGGGACTGCACGCGAACGGCTCGTGTGAAACTTCCCAAACTTTCTTTCCCACAGTAACTTTCAGCCAATGGGAGGAGGAGACACGCGGCACCGCTCGTGGACTGCGCCCCCCCATTGGCCGCCAGGCACAAGGTCTGGCGTCCAATGGCGCGCGCCTGAGCCCGGGGCACCGGAGGCTACAACGTCAATCAAAAGGATTTTAACTCTTTGCTACTCTCCAGGCTCTGCTTTAGGATTTTTCCGCTTTGGTTTTCATCTGGTCTTTTTGTTTTTCTTCGTGGCCAGGGCCTTTGCTCTTCATTGTCTGTGCCGTGTGCAATACGGCTACTTTGTATAAGTTCATTTGCGATACAGTTTGAAAAGATGTAGAAGAACAAGGAAAGAAAATTTGCAGTGATTTTAAAAGGAGGGAACTCGTGCAAGTGAGTATTACCAAAGCATCTACGTGACTTTCCGCTCGGATTTGGTATGATGCGGGATGGGAGTGAAAATAGCTGTTAGGGAAACAAACAAAAATCATTTTCCCCCAGAAAAGTACATTTCTTCCACAGGCAGGTTATTTGGAGCAAGGTGGGTTTTGGATGCCATCCTCCCCTTAGCCGGTCTTTAGTTCCTCTTCTGAAGCAGGGGCCTTGGACCTCATGTTTCTCCAGGAAACAATCAGAATAATTTCCAACTGGGCAGAAAGGAAATGGAATTTCAAATGAAAAATGAACAAGGGGGCTTTGATCACAGTGCCACAGGGGCGCGCGCGCTCCGTCGCCACTCGTTCCCTTCCCACCCGCAGGCTCTCAGCTTTGCAGTCGGGAGAGGTGGCCGGCTGGGAGTCGGCCGGATCTTCCCTCCTCACCCCGCCGGCGGCCTAGGCGGCTCCGGCTGACGCGCGCGGTCCCTTTAAGAGCTACACCAGCCGAACTGCAGTTTGACATCAGCCAGCCGGCGAGGGCGCGCCTGGAGTCGGAGCACGTGCCAGGATGTTTTATTGCCGCCGCGGCTGCGGCCCGGCCGGGAGGATGTGTGTGGGGAGTCGGCCGGATCTTCCCTCCTCACCCCGCCGGCGGCCTAGGCGGCTCCGGCTGACGCGCGCGGTCCCTTTAAGAGCTACACCAGCCGAACTGCAGTTTGACATCAGCCAGCCGGCGAGGGCGCGCCTGGAGTCGGAGCACGTGCCAGGATGTTTTATTGCCGCCGCGGCTGCGGCCCGGCCGGGAGGATGTGTGTGTGCGTGCGTGTGTGAGTGTGTGCGCGCGCCCCGGGGGCAGGGAGGCTGGGCGGCCGGGAGCGGGGGCCGGTTCCTAGTCAGGGGGAGAAGCCAAGAAGGTAAATAGCAGCTGCTGTGCTGGAGCCTGGGAAAACCCCGCCCCCTGCGCCTGGCCGGGGCTCATTGGCGCGCGCTGCGTGTGGGGTGTGTGTGTCCTGGGCCCCCTCCTCCCGCCCCGCCGGGCCTGGAATCCGAGGGGGCGGCGGGCTGCTAGGCCGGCGGCCCGGGCCTCCCCTCCCCCCGGCCAAGGTCAGCCCTTCCGGGCGGGGAGCAGCACGCCCTGGGGTGGCGAGTGGGGAGCTGGTCCTCCCCTCCCTACTCCCGGGCTGGGGTTTGATCCGGGCTTGAACCCTCCCTGGCTACAGCCCGGGGGAGGGGCGCAGGCCTCGGGCTCGCGCCTCTCTTCCCCCCCTCCCCCCACCCCGCAGGGCCGGGGCGCCCGCCGCGGTCAGGAGATGCCTGACCGCACTTAGGAAGCGGCCGGGTCAGCCTCCTGCCTCTGCTCGGCGGCTGTGGTTAAAGCGGCTTCGCGCCGCCCGCCCCTTCCCTGGGTCCTGGGCAGCGGGGCCACTCTCCCCCCTCGGCCTCGGGCTCGCGCCTCTCTTCCCCCCCTCCCCCCACCCCGCAGGGCCGGGGCGCCCGCCGCGGTCAGGAGATGCCTGACCGCACTTAGGAAGCGGCCGGGTCAGCCTCCTGCCTCTGCTCGGCGGCTGTGGTTAAAGCGGCTTCGCGCCGCCCGCCCCTTCCCTGGGTCCTGGGCAGCGGGGCCACTCTCCCCCCTCGCTGCGCCCGGGACGCGGCCGGAGG